GTAAAGATAAATTATGCAGCTGCTTTCAGAACGACCGGGGTAAAAATGAGACACACAAAGGGTTCCATATCAAGTAAAGAACGAAAAAGAGGTCGGAGAAAATCTTTAAGCGACGATTCAGCAGGCAATGATGTTCTAGGGAGACCTGATGTTATAAGGGTATGTATAGACATATTTATATTTATTTATTTATTTATTTATTTTAGATATTGATATTCATTAAATCTTCCTAAAAATCACGATTATTTAATAGGTCAAAATTGAAGAATTGCAAGGGGAAATTGCCACTCTAACGTCACATCTTAATACAGATGTACGATTTATCAAAAATCTTGTCATTATGATACCATACAAAGCTGCTACGCGCGATCGGATAATAAACGTAGCTTCTGGCATTGGAAAAAGGATTAAACAGACCTTTCTAAAATTAACTCGACTAGTTTGTTATCACGAAATAATGGAAAAAGATTTGTGTCAGTCTATTATGGAAGATCAAGATTACTGGTCAAGAAGAAAGAGCACCAATAAAAGCGGATATGAACGAAAATACCGGGGAGGAACTATTAAGCGAGACCGCAATGCAAAATCCGAATATCATAGCGAAATTGAACGGCAGAATACGGTATCAACATACACGTTGGATTCAGCAGCACATAGCCCAGATTCATCTATCACATATTCAGTTCTCGCCACACCCGTACAAACACCTTCAATTTTAGAGGCCAATTCAACGGGTTTCGATTTTGAGACGAATTATGATTTATTCGGACTTGGTGCGTCAAACACGAACAATGATGTACGAAGAAAAGATAGTTTACGGGATGATGTTTCCAGTTTTATAGAAATTGGATTCGAAGATGGTAAAGATTTGGACAATGAGAAAGCGATTGATTCGAGTAATAAGACAATATTCGATGAAATGGAGGGGACAATCATTAACTCAAATAATAGCAGTGAGGTGGCGGTGGAAAATTTGATATTAAGAATTAACAATGCTCGATTAGATGATGAACACAATAATAACAATGATGATACAATAATAGAAAAGACAGTCGATGATGAACAAGTGGAAGATGATGATGATGATTCTCAAGAAGAATTTGTAGATGCGGAAGAGGGTGACATCTATTATTGAATCAATTATCTAACATAAAGCATGTTATGGAACCATTTATTTCTTTTAAATGTATATATTTATATTATTATTTATTTTATTTTTTCATTCCTGTGCGATTACGTCGAACTTTCTTCCCTTTTACCTTAAACTGCGTAGAGCGAACAAATTGTGATTATTTATTTATTGTCACATACGGATTGATGATATTTCTCCTTTACAAAAGATTGCATTTTTCTTTTTAAATACATAAAAACATGTAAATTTGACTATACTTAGATTGTTATTCTAAGTTCTTTTGTCGTATTAATATGTCGAATTTCAAATTCTGGATGACTCCGTTGCTTATCGTTATCCCTCATTTAGATATATTATGCTAACTCTAAAAATAAATAAATAAATAAATCGCATTGTGTCACCTACACACAAAGAAAGTTTATGTGTGACTCATGACTTTTTTGTAATCGCATAACTTGCACATAATAATCTCATATCTGTATATATCATCATTATCCCCGCTATACTATCATTATTTTATTATTATTTCATTAGATAGACAATCTCTGGAAAAGAGACAATATAGCGAGCAGCAGCAGTAGCAGCAGCAGTTGAATAGTAGAAGTCGTGTAGTATTAAATTATTATAGTATAAAAGCAAACACAAAAAACGTAAAACAATATCCTTCCTATACACGCTAACTCCATCCACACCCACCAATAACAAGCTATCTATCACATACATATACACACACACACACACGAGACCCAACACAACACCCCATTTTTAGGGCTCCACCTTTACCCTAGTCTTATACTTACTTTTGATTGACCTTCTCTTCTCTACTGCTTTTTTTCTTCCATCTTCCTCATCATGACCTCTCAACGTCCTGTCTCGGAACAATTTAATCTACAACAAAAATCCGGATCAAACGCACAATACCGACAATCCGCGGACCTCTCTCATTTAGGCCAACAGCAACAGCAAAATCATCGTGGTTCTTCAAGGCCCACATCTGAGATATTTTCTGCAAATACCCCCACATATCACTCACCTGAAGGTATGAATAACGTTTATCATAATTGATAAGTTTAAATCTTTCACGTATACGATAATCGTTGACGATGATGATCCTGATTATTTAATTAATTCATTCATATAAATCTATAGCTGAAGCAATCGACAAGTGGTTTGAAGACTTGCAACATTACGAACAAACACTTGAAGAAATGGCCACAGCTAGTTTAGATCAAAATTTCAAGGAAGAACTTGGTGCACTTGAGCAATGGTTTCGCGTATTATCAGAAGCCGAAAGAACTGCTGCGTTATATAGCTTGCTACAACATTCAACTCAAGTGCAGATTAGATTTTTTATCACAGTCTTACAACAAATGGCTAGAAGTGATCCAATGGGAGCTTTATTATCACCTGCTAACCCTGAAAAAGGTATTTCTTCATAGACGAACTTTTTCATTTCGTTTAAAAATTCATTATTTATAAAAAACCATGATTATTCATTGTCAATCAAATATAACGTAATCTACAGATATGATGCAAGCTCAATTAGCGAAAGCTGAAGTTGATGCTAGAATGGCTCTTAAATCACCGACAAGCCCTTCATATCCACGTCGTCTCTATGATAGACATCCGGGAATTGAATTCTTGTCACCTGAAGCGGCAATATATTCAGATCCTGCTGCTGCTCTAGCCCAACAACGAGCAAGACTTCAGGCAAATACCGGAAATAGAGCCACCTCTTTATATTCAAGACCGAAATCGATGATATCGGAAAGTGACCAGCCAGTATGGACACCAGGTGCTAACAACAATAGCAATAGTAATGGTAATAAAGATAGAACAAGTAATGGGCGACCGAAATCCGCGGATCTGAGCGCCATGCCTTGGACACCAGCCGCTTTTCCATTACGTTCGCCAAGACCGGGTGCCGCATTTGATGGTGAATTATCTCCATTAGTTGGTGGAAGTTGGGCGAGTATGGTTTCAACGCCTGTTGTTCCAATGTTTGCCGAGAATAAACAAAAACCCGCGGCTGATGCTGAAATGGTGACTAAAAAATTAACAAATTGGACTTTAAGTAATAGTTCGGGAAATCGTGTAGTCTTGGAGAGTGATGTTAAGAAATTCCGTAGAAATCACTTGAAGGGAAATAATACCGGTGTCCCAGCTACAGTCCACGAAGAAAAGTACGGAGCACAGGCGAATATTGTGTTGTCAATGATTGATGCGGATGGTAATAAACGATCCCCACAACATTCACCTCTGCCAAGTCCAAAAACATTGGGCACGTCAAGACAGGGATCACGTCCTTCTTCGCCAAATCCAAATCCGGTTGGATTATATCCTATGCATACATGGGGCTCGGGAGGTGGTGGTGCTAAATCAACACATTTAACACCACCCGGTATTGGAGTTCACTATGTTGATGGAGATGGTGGTACTGTTGAAGTCGGTTATTTAAGTGATCATAGTGACGCTTCGCATAATACTAGCAATGCCGGTACTAATAACAATAACACCAACAAATCGTCAAAAAATAAAAAGAAACAGAATGATGATACTGTCGATTTTGAACTTTTAAACGGTATGCAATTTATCTATTTCTTATTGATTAATTTATCAATTAATAGCAATTAATGGCAATTACATGGATCTATTTTCAAAAGATATTCCTCAATGGTTACGCAGTCTTCGTTTACACAAATATACGCAAGTTTTTGAGGGCATGAAATGGCAAAGTATAATCGAATTAGATGATACTGCTTTAGAACAAAAGGGTGTTGCAGCGCTTGGGGCTCGTCGTAAAATGCTCAAAGAATTTGAAAAAGTTAAAAACGCTCTTGTAAGTATTCAAATGGCTTCTTTAATAATTTCTTGCTTCGGGATCTAATATTTTTTTTATCTAATCTTGTTTCATTTAAACTTTTTTATTTAAAGAATGAAAAGCCTGCGTAGAGGAACTCTTCATTATACTACATACACAAATTGTAATTGTTATTGTTATTATTATTATTATTATTATTATTATTATTATTATTATTATTATTATTATTAATACTATTATTATTTATTATACATAAATTTAATGATTCGGCATTTACAGTAATTCTACCACTACTTATAATCATCAACGTCTTTTTGGGGAATAATTTTAGTATAGTTTTATTTAATTCATTGTGAATAGTTTTTTTTCTTCCTACCCTATCCGAAAAATCACCTTATTATATCCATTCATAGTCCGATTCAAACTTTTTGCTATATATACATTTAGTCACACCATTCACACCATTAACCATTAAAATTATTCCCCTTTTTAATACTACTTTTATTATCACTAATTAATATTGCTATTATTACTACACCACTATTATTATTCTTTATATTATTTACATTATTATATAAAACATTTTCGCAAAATTGTTTTGATAACAAAATAGCTTTAGTTAGCCCTGGTAGGCCCTGTATATTTCTCTCTAGACCTTTTTTTCCTTCCAAGGACAGGCGCCTTTAATTTACTAATATTAATAATAAACACAATGTTGATAATTAAAAACTCAAAGAAAAAGACGCGTTCTTATGTGAATTAGTACAAGTACATAACCGAGCAAATTTTAACTGATGTGCCGCGTATCTTCCTATTCAAGAAAGATTGACAAAATTTATTTAGAGTATTTTTCGCCCTAGAATTTCAAAATGACTACCGTTCAAGGTTCAGCAGAAAATCCAGACATTCGAAGACTACGTCAACGTCTTGATCAAAGTAATTATCGAGAGAATTTTACCCCAGAGTCGGCATTACTTGTGCAGAGGCTCCTTGACGATTTATTATCAACAACTGAAAACTGCCAGTTGTTAAAAAAAGATTGCAAGAATTTGGAACGAGAGAAACTGGAAATTCAAAGCCAGGCATATATTGAATAGTTTGATTTTGGCATAGAAGTTTTCATTATCAAATCCTTCTTGACTACTGCATAATTCTTAATAAAGGCCGAACCACTTCGTCGCTCTGTAACTTGTCTTACCAAAGAAAATAATCAACTTCGTATAGAAGTTATTCATGCGGCCGATTTACGAGATAAAGAACAAATTGAGCGGCAACAGCTTATTCGTAAATATGAGGATGAGATTGCCGAATTGAAGTTTATGAATTCTCAATATGTGAATAAAGCCCTAGAAGCAGAAAAAAAATTAGAATCCGAGAAAAAACGGATCGATACAATATTGAAATCAGTTGACGGTGAAGGCGCGCAGGGAAAAGGTCTGAATTTTTTTTCTATGGTTAATAATATGTATTGTTATGAGGAGCTTTTTTTTAAACTCGCACATTCTTACAGGACGAAAATCAAAATCCTCATCAGCTTGGGAACCGATTGCCCCTGAACAGATTGAAATTGACGCCCTTCTTGGTTTAAATTAATTTGTCGTAAATTTTTTTCATTTTTATTTATACTTGCAAGTTATTAAATGTATATTATTTTTTCATCATTTTTCTTTTTCTAGAAGAGATGTCCGAAACTTATAAACCATATACACCAGATCCTAAAATAGCAGATCTAGTGAGTATAAGTCATAGACGAATCGAGGAACTTGAGAGATCCAATAAAGATCTCGGTGATAAACAAAAGAAACTTGAAGATCAGGTTTGAGTGTTTCTTAATTTTTGTTAATGATATTTTAAATGGAAATACCTAACATAATAATTTACATAAAGATATCGATTCTTGAAAACCAAGTTACAACACGAGAACAAGAAATCGCACGACTTGGTTCTCTTCTCGTAGATAAACGTTCGGATAAGCCACTTGATGTTGATATTGGCGATATCCCCTCCGAATCCGCTTCTGCAGCGCAAATGCATTCGAGGATCCAACAATTAGAGATTCAAAAGGAATATTTACAAGATCATATTCTTAATCTTGAGCAGGTAAGCAAACCTAATCTATGTTGAATGGAATTTTTCATATATATTTATTATATTTGTTAATATCATCAAAATAGGATAAGAGTAAACTTGAACAGGAAAGGGAGTCCATTGAAGAGGAGTATAAAAAAGAAAAAATGACAATAATGAACGAGTTGAGGGAAGTCAAGAACCAATCACAACAAATCTATAAAGATCTGGAAAATCTTGAGCTGTTAGTCGATGACTTAAGTGAATTGCATTCTCACATTTGTAAACAAGGTAAGAGTAAACTATTCTGTCTTTATTTATTATAAAATCTAACTTTAATTTTTGTGTATTATCAAATAGCAAATTTGAAAGATTCAACTGGTGAAACTCTTGTATGTAATAAATTAATGCATACACATCTATAATACTTTAAACATATTAACAAATTATTTTTTGCAACTTTTTAGAAGAAAAAGCGTGATAAGAAACCTGGCATTAAAGATTATATCAGCTCGATTTATAGTTGGCTAAAAACTGCTAATGATCAACTGAGGACTGATTTTGATAGTATGCGCTTTTTTACTTATTTTAATTTAAATATTTATTATTAAGCTGACTTTTACTGTATTTTAAGTATTGATCTTTTTATCTTAAAGGTGTATTTCATGAGAATGATAATCTTAAAACGGCCCTTGATAACACTAGAAAGGAGATTGAACGTATAACGAAGGAGTTGAATTCAACCAAAGAACGATTACAAAAATTACAAACAGTTGCCCAACAAAATAATAAGCAGAAAGGCTCAAGTGCCAATGTTGAAACTTTGCAGGCCCAGAATAAGGCTTTAGAACTCGAAGTAGCCAAAATGAAATCAAAAGTAATTTTTTTTTACTTTAGGTATTCTCTTTATAATAATATTAGATTCTACTGATAATTATTAAAGATGCAGGAATTGGGACAAAAGAGCTCAAACAATCAACATGCCTCGAACTCTGATGATCGGAATGGACTCGATAAAAATTTTGCTCAGGATCTCGCTGCCGTGAAAAAAGAACGAGATGAGGTTTAAATTTAATATTCTATACGTTTCTAATTTTAATTGATGATTAGTTTATGGTGTATTATTAGTTATCTAGTCAACTAGAGGAATGCAAGAAGCAGATTGAGGCTCTTAGTAACCAATTAAAGGAGGCTTGTGAAGAAATTGAAATAGTCAGCGGTGATCGACAGAACCTTGAAGAGCTTTATAAGCAATTAAATCAAGAGTTACAAATTGCCAGGCGTTCACCATCGGTTTGCTTTATTATTTCCAAATAATTTCATTATAATTTTCTTTACTAATTTTTCCGATTTGCTATCATTGTTTAGCCAACTCTACATCAGCCGTGTAATAAGAAACTAGCAGAAGTTCAAGCCCAATTGAGCAACGCCCTAAACGAAATCAAAAATTTAAATCATGATAGGAAAAATCTAGAACAGTTGTATCAACAGGTTTGTCAAGAGTTGCAAGTACTTCAGCAAATCACTACGGTAAGTTCACCTTATACATGAATTCGCATTCGTTATATTTTCCATTACATTGGACGTTCTTAGACACCTGATATTTGTTTTCTACATTTTAATAGGAACATAAACCAGCACGTTCGAATGTTTTCGATCTCAACAAGCAACAATCCAATAATATTAGACAATCGAACTTATTTGATCAAAATGGCAATAATCCCATGTATCAAAATATTTACGATAACAATGATGATAATTATAATAATAATAATAATATTGATATTAATCAAACAAATAAACTATTGGAGATTGAAGGTGTATAAAATTGATTTTAATTTTTTTAATTAAGATTTTTGATAAAAGAAATCTCAATATATTGATGACTATAGTGCAACAAGCTAAAGCTACACTTAAAAGGATGGAAGAAGAGATGAATATTGTCAGAGATCGATTTCAGCAAGTCAATGCTCGAATGATTGACGGAGCACGGACTTTGGATGCAGTCAACCGAGAGCTTGAAAAACTAAAACTTGAACGAGATCAATTAGCAGCCGAGCTTGAGGTATTTTGTCATAAATATCTACAAAAAAATTTCTTCTGACATCATAAGCTGACTGTGCGTTAATAACATAGGCTAGCAAACAATCAGGCAAACAACTTACCGAGGTATTGTATTTATTTGATTTTTTTATTATCATGTGCATGTTTGAGATTTATCTTTTTTCTTATGGGATTTTAGGTCTTTGCTGAGAGGAATAAATTTTACTCTGAACTACAAAGTAAAGAAAATCAAGTGCAATATTTGAGTGAATTAATAGCAAAAAAGGACCAAGAGAAGGAGAATTTAATGAGTTCATATAATAAATTATTGGCGGAACATCAGAAACAAAATGAGATTCTGAAAAAATCAACGGAAGAAAGCAATAAAATAAAACATTTGAGTGAACAATTGGCAAAAAAAGACCAAGAAAGAGAGAATTTAATGAATTCTTATCGTCAATTACTGGCCGAAAATCAGAAACAAGAGGCGATTCTAAAGACATCATCCGAAGAGAGTAATAAGTTAAAGTAAATATAATTTTTATTCTCGATTTCTTCAAGGAAAAAAGATTCTTAAGAATGGTTTGAATTGATTAGAATGGAAATTCTGATACGAGATAAGCGTGTTCAACAATTACAAAAAACTTTGGATGAATGTTCAGAGGAGATTCAACAATACAAAACTGATCTTGCGAGTTATGAAAGACAGTGTGAGAGTAAGTTTCAATGAGAATTTTTGGAATTAATTTAATTATTTATACATAACAATTATTGATTTGATTAAATTTATACTTAAAAGTATTAGCCAGAACATTGCAGACATTAGACTCGGATTATGCAAATTCAGAGGTATGATTTTGATTAATGTCCTACAGTTAATAGTTACTGTATGATGAAATATATATATTTTCTATGAATTTAGTTTGTTTTTGTGATATATATATATATATTGAAAATCATTTCTATGTAAAAATCATCAAACATGAAAATATTATGAATAAAGTTTTCATCAAAATTTTTTAATTGGGCGCATTACTTTAAGTAATGAAAGATGTGTGAATAGTTACTTTTTTATATATAAACTAGAAAAAGCGACCTTTATCTTACACGGCTCTGAATTTGCATACGAAAAATACCGCGGCTTTGAATTATCAGGTACATATTTAATAGAGGAATTAATTTTTTTTAGTATTATCTTACATATCAATGTTAATTCTAAATTGATTTAATTAGAATTTAGAATCATCAGCTCATATGCCTGAAATAACAAACAATAATACAAGTTTTCAGATCTTTACAGGAAATTTTAATCAAAGGAAAAAAATAGAGAATCTCGAGACTTCTACTCATAAACGACAAAATGGTATCGATTTTGATTCGTTAATTATATGCGCATTCTTTGGAAAAGTTGTCTAATGAACATATTTATTTTTGTATTACAGAAACGGCAGATTTCTCGGATGAAGATTTTGAATTTGAGAATAACTTAAAGAATAAGGGAAAAACGGTTGAACAACCAAATCTAACTCCACCATCACCATCACCGACGATACCAATATTATCCGGCAATGGAAATCACAAGGAAAATTATCTTTTTGGCGATTTTTTTTTAAATAAGAATTTCGCGGATCGTAACTTTACCGCTACTACCTCTTTTGCATATGAAGTAAGGATTAGCATTTCATTTCATTATTCGCAAATAAGAAATTATATATACTCTCTATTATATAGAGGCCATCAGATAAAAATATTGGTCCCAAACAGCAAATTTCATTAAAAAAACAAACCAATCAATATCCATTTACGTTGGGATTGATACCTGGTATTAATAATAGTAATCTCGATATATTGTTTGTTTTTAAAAGACTCAAATGCATATTATAAATTATAGAACAAAATAAGTCGAACGCCAATGAAGAAAAATCACCGATAGAGTACGTAAAGATTTAAATCTCTTGTCTTTTGATGATATTAAGAATTAAAATAAATCAATTTTTTCTAAAAAACATTCGACAGTCAATTCTCTGCTCACAAAACTTTTCCCAACTTCGCTAATCAATTCTCCTCTACCGAGGTCCATATTCAGACGAACACTAAAAACGCGCAATTATCTCAAATGCGTGAAGCGAGATTCTTGAATGAAGAAAATAAGCGATTAATGGATGCTATAGAACAGGTAAAGTAAACCAAATTTTTGGCATTGATTAACTTATTAATGAATAAGCATTCTAAAATTTTTCTAATAGACTAAAAACGATCTTGGACGTTATATGGAAGAATAAATATATACAATTTTATACATTAATTTATTGTATTTTAATTTTATATTTAAGCACTATATGAAATTTAATGGAACATGTAACATTGTACTACGCGCGAGCAAAGATCATATTTGCTACTACGTCACGCGCGCGACTACATCGAATGAACATCTATTTTTCAAGACGAAAAGATTTCGAAAAATTTGTATTTTCTCTCCGTATTTTATTTTAGTTTCTTTCTTAAAAGGAATAACCTTCTATAAAAATGGCTGACGTTATGAGCTTAAATGGTACAAACAATGTAGCGGTTGTGGGCGGCTTAAATGTTCTAGATAATGCAGAAGTAACGCGTCCCACCTCAGAGTCCGAAGATGTTGGAAATGGGATTGCTCAACTGAAAAGAACTAAACGTTCGAAACCGAACCAAAATAACGTTACAAAGGTCATTGATGTAATTGCTAGAGAGGTAGCAAAAAACTTTGAGCTGTTTCTTGAAAAGTACGTTTTCCTCGCAGGTCATTTTTCGCGTTTTTTAAAAATCGCGTGTTACATCACCAATATGAATGAATTTGTGACATGGTTTAACGCATATTCCAAATAAAGCATAGATTATTTTTTAATTCTTTTTCCAATGTTTCAAAATTAGTTATAACGAACCTTTACCAGAAGGTGAAAGCGACGTTTACGATGATTCCTCACAAATTTGGTATCCTTATCTTGAGCAAATCGTAAAGTTGCGACATCAAAGAAAGCATACGATTTACGTGGATTTTAAGAAACTTCAACTTAATACAAGACTTTCCACTTGGCAAGCAATCCGACAACATTATCATAGGTACTAAGGATGATTGACTAGAATATAAACCATGATCGAGTTATAAATTTAATTTTTTGCTTTTTTTTAAAGATGTGAACCTTTTCTACGTCAGGCAGTTCGAGATCTCGTAGCAAAATATGATGAAGCGTATCTTTACAAAGCACCGATTATGGACATCAAATTGGATAATCAACCTCTACGTGAATTTTGGGTTGCTTTTTACAATATCCCGGCGCCACTATGTATCCGTGAATTGAAGAGTGTCACGATTGGACAATTGATAAAAATTCAGGGAACTGTGACGAGAACTAGTGAAGTTCGACCCGAATTACTATACGGAACTTTTGTATGTGATGCGTGTAAAAGCATCGTGAAACATGTCGAACAGCAATTTATTTATACAGAAGTGGGTGTTCATTGATTATCTACTGATATTACCTTGGGTTCAATTAAAAAAAAAATGACTGAGCTTATTTTTAAATGTAGCCTAAAATGTGCCAAAATCCTACCTGTGCAGCACAAAAGGCCTGGTCTTTAGACGTTGAACAATCCAATTTTATCGATTGGCAACGAGTTCGTATACAAGAAAATCCCGAAGAGATACCTACTGGTAGTATGCCAAGAACGTGAGTAAATTGTTTCTTTTCTTTTTTACAACTATTACTATTTAACTGGGAAATTTCTTTTTTCAATTAATTAAGACTTGAAGTCATTCTCCGAAATGAAATGGTCGAAAGGGCAAAACCTGGACAAAGATGTTACTTTACCGGAACTTTGATTGCAATTCCTGATATTAATCAACTTGGAGTTCCAGGTCTAATTTAATATTGTAGAATTTATATGGAGAAATATCTATAGTGTTAATTTATGTTTTTCTTGGGTAATCCCAAATTCCAGGCTCTACGGCAGAAATTCAACGTGCCGCGCGTACTAGAACATCAGAAGGATACGGAAATACTGGTATCACTGGATTAAAAGTTCTAGGTGCTAGAGATTTGACATATAAAATTTCCTTTCTGGCATGCATGGTAGAGGGCGTATCTTCAAAGGTAAATTATATCTCACTCGAGCACAATAAATTGAATTTGATATTGACTGTGACTCTTATATTTATTCAGACTGATATTGAAAGTTCAAAATCAGAAGAAGAAAATACCGAAGAGGAATTCCTAAAAACTTTGTCGCATCAAGAGTTAGAAGAGTTACATGATTTATTACAACATCCAAATCTTTACCATTCACTTGTGAGAAGTATCGCCCCCGCTGTATTTGGTTCGTGTCTTTAATCCTTTTTTGTGTCGATCTATTTTTCTATATTACTTTGAAATTTATTTTATCATGGATCGATAGGTCACGAAATAATAAAGAAAGGAATTCTGCTTCAATTGCTGGGTGGAGTGCATAAAGTCACTATGGAAGGAATAAATTTGAGAGGGGATATCAATGTCTGTATTGTCGGAGATCCTAGTACAAGCAAGAGTCAATTTCTAAAGTTAGTAAAAGAAATATTAGGATAGTCTATATCAGCGCTTTATATTAATGCTAAAAAATCTCTATATTCTACCGTATAATAGATACGTATGCTCTATTCATCCAAGGGCCGTCTACACTTCTGGAAAAGCCTCAAGTGCAGCCGGTCTGACTGCAGCTGTTGTTAAAGATGAAGAAAGCGGGGAATTTACCATTGAAGCTGGCGCATTAATGTTGGCAGATAACGTAATAAAAGCAAAAAAAACAACTTTTTTCACTTAGATGTTGCTCTTTTAATATATTTATTGCATAATACAATTCAGGGTATTTGTTGTATTGATGAGTTTGATAAGATGGACAAAAAGGATCAGGTTGCCATTCATGAAGCAATGGAACAACAGACTATTTCTCTTGCTAAAGCTGGGATTCATGCAACTTTAAATGCGCGGACATCCATCTTATCGGCAGCAAATCCAATTGGAGGTCGATACAATAGACGATACACATTAAGGGTAATTTATGTCTTAATATCTTATTGATGTTTCAGTTTGAGGCTAAATTAATCTCTTGATTTATTTGTTTATGAATTATTAGCAAAACATTGCCATGTCGGGTCCAATTATGTCTCGTTTCGATCTCTTCTTTGTAGTATTGGACGATTGTAATCCGGAATCGGACAAACAGATTGCTCAACATATTTTAAATGTCCACACGCATAAAGACGCAGTTCTGAATCCCGAATTCACTACTGAACAAATTTTAAGATTCATTCAATTGGCGAAAACACGCAAGCCTAAAGTATTCAAATTTGATCGAATGGAAGATTTTGATCTTTAGTCTTGTTTATTTAACTTATTTCTGTTTTTTTTTTGCCGTAAAAAGTTTACCGATGAAGCTTCCGAGTTGATCAAGAGGATGTATGTGCAGTTACGAGAAGGAGATTCCCGTGGATCTGGTACAAATTCATATCGAATCACTGTAAGACAACTTGAAAGTTTGATTCGATTATCCGAGGCTATCGCTAGAGCTTATTTATCAGACGAGGTAACAATCCTCTCTAATGTAACGATAACCGCATGGCTTTTTTTCACTTACTTTTCATGATATTCATAGATTAAACCAGTATATGTGAAGGAAGCTTGCTGGCTTCTCAAACAATCCATCATTCGCGTGCAACACGACGATGTTCAGTTAGATGACGACGAAATGGAAGAGGAAAGAAATACTGAAATTGTGAGACCAGAAGAAATACTTCAAGGAGAAAATGTAAATATTGACGCAATGGAAACGGATAATGACGGATCTGCTACTTCTGCTGCTGATCAAGACACTACCATCACTGATACGCAACCGAATACAAACAATGCAAAGCCACCTCCAATGACCATGACATGGGAAGATTTTAATCAACTCAAAAATATAGTACTTTCGCGGATTCATGAGGCTGGTGGATGTAAGTGATTATGATCTCTGGTAATTTTTTCTGTCCGTTTAATGAATTTTATGTTCTTAAAACAGGGATTGGTGAGTCGGAATTGGTTGTTTGGTATCTAGAATCAATGGAAGACCAGATGCGTACAGAACAAGACATGGAAACGGAACAATTAAAGTTTAAACGTGTAATAAGGAAATTATTACGGGTAATAACAATAATCATGATTTTTATATTTGTAATGTACACATTTTAATTAACATACGCTATTCAAATAAAAAAATAGGAAAAATATTTACTCGAGATCGAAGAAGATGAAGTGAGGGAAATTGATGAGCCAGAACAAGAACAAGAACAGGAACAAGAACAATCAACACAGTTTCTACCAACTGTAGAGAAGCACAAAGTCCTAATTGCACATCCAAACATCGATTTGGATACTATATAATTTTATACATATTATATTATATACTTGTACAAATATAATTCAATAATTTTTGTGTTAAAAGATAGATTTCTCCAGAAATATTGTTCTGTTGCTGACGTGCGTTATTAATTCTTGTTACCAAGCGCAGTAAATTGTTGATAATTGTAAACTACTAGGCAATAAATAACTTTTTTTAATAAAGAGAAAAAAAATTATTATTATAAAATTCAGACATAAGTGATAACAGTTCCAGCTTTAATGGTCTCCCAAATTTTTGCAAGTATTTCATTAAGGAAATCACTTATTTTTTGTCTCGCTTTTGCATTCGATCCATTATATAAAACAATGAACATGCAAAGAAGGAGTATCCGTGGAACAGAGAAATTTTGTGCCATTTTTTCACCGAAATATATTATCACACTTGCTATCTGACCGAAAGAATTCGGAGATGTGATTCTTATTCCTCGTGCAGAGGTGGATCTCCTCTGTGTATCAAGAACATCCGCTGAAGTAGAGGTGGAAGTGGTGGATGAGGGAGATGAGCGAATTAATTGCGTACCGTTATTGCTGTTATTTTTTCCGTTATCTGCAAGTAATGAAGTAGTAGGGGAAATACGTCCATTTGTAGTAGATTGATTCATGGTATTGGGTAATTTTGTGGAAGATGAAATGTGCCCAGCATCGTTAATTTGATTATTATTCTTCCCAGATAAAAAACCATTAATATGATTCTTGGTATTGGTGTTTGATCTTTCGCTTTCCTTTTTTTTAATTTTTTTTTTTAGTGGTTTTGGTTTCTTTGAATTTTCTTCTAATTTATTGAGCAATTCTCTGTATTCCTATTTGTTCACACCCGTTAGAAATCTTCGATTCATTCTTTCTGATAACGAACAAAAGAAAAATACCTTCTTGCGATCCTCGTCAATCCTATTATTGTCATTTAAGAAGCTCCTGGCATAATTCCAATCCTTCAACCTTGGGAGAACATGAAGGACATATAATTCCACGATTTGTTCATAAGTTTTCAACAAAGGATCATCATCCTTAATTCTGTTTGTCGACGCATGATCCAACTGAAGCAAAACCATCTCTGGAATGGAAAACATCCAACTTTCTATGATATCCTTGGCAATCTTTGGTAATTGCTGACCCAAGCAAAGTAATACGCTGCCAACGTCACAATTGAATAGGAGGGGAGGAAGGAATACGCATCAATGAACAAATAATAGAGCTCAAGACTAACAACAAGCAAGGACACATTACCATGCTTATCTATTCTTTACCCACCATGCAATGATGACTTCTCCATCAACATAACCTTCTTCATCGTAATAACCTTCCTCACATACACGATCCCAGACTTCTTCAACCACCTTGGACACTGGTCTCTCTAGTAGCCGTTTCGTCTCTGGGTGGATCGGGTTTATTCGTGACCCTTCGGCGAGAATGGACGCGACAAATGTTACATAGAGTGCCCAGACTTTTTTTCGCAGTGTAGTTAGGGTTGGCGAAAGATTATCGGTATGCGGTATCAGGGATAATTCGGTAAATGCAGACAGACAGTTCATGTGAACAATGTCGTATTGACGCAAGATTAATGCTTCGGCAGCTTTTTGATAAAGAGTGACAACTTTGGAAAGGTATTGAACGTTCATGGTTTTCGGGTAAACTCCTTTTTGGGTGATTAAAGAACTCGACTTTTCAATGGAAGACGAAGGAGGGACGACTAGCGCGGAAGTTCCAGGAGCCATTGTTGTAGATAGATAGTAAAGCGGGACAACGTTATCTGTGGTTGATAAAATATCCCGTGCATGGGAACAAATTGATGTCCTTAAATATTTTTGTACAATCGGTCAGTCATATCTTCTGATGATTATCCGATTATCACAGCGATTTCATTTAAAAAAGGTGGCACGTGGTTTAATTGATGCTAGCCGGCCAATGTAACATTTTAATGATTCGCTATCCACATAAAGTTTAAATAAAGTAAAATACAAAGTTAATCTATCTAAGAAAGTATTTTCAAATGGTATTAAATAGGTAAAGTGATTGTCGGCGTATAAAGAAAAACTATAATATTATATACATGCACGTTAGCGTCGATTAAAATAGAGTGTAAATAAGGTATGTAATAATAAAGATAGATGATGATGATGATGATGATGGTGATGGCTCCTCGAATCTCATGGGAATCAAAAGTAAAATTGTAGAGTGTATGTGTGTATGCATGTCATATCAAAACAAACTCAATGGTCAGTCCTTCCTTTGAATTCAATCCAAAATAAAAAAAATCCAAGAAACACATTCACAATCATGTACAGAATAATTTTTGTCCAATTCTTCGACAAGTATTTCAGCAAATACTCCTATATAAAATATATATATATACTATATCTATCATCGTAATTATTGGTTTCCCCATCATCATCAAGATCTTCACCACCAAAAGTTCGGTCGCATCTTTCTCTATGTGGTTTGGTTTGTATCTTGTTTGTAAAGTAAGTAGTAGAAGTAGTAGTAGTAGTAGTAGTAATAGTGGTAGTTGGTAGTAGCA